CCCCCACTCCCCCCACCCCAGCCTGTGTCACCTGCCAGACTGCGGGACGCCAAGTTCCACAAATCACTCATCTGCTCCCGCCTGTCACTTCCTGGGTCCCCAGCCTCCACTTTGGGTTTCAAACAAGGTGAGAGCAGTTCCCCCCACTCCCCCCACCCCAGCCTGTGTCACCTGCCAGACTGCGGGACGCCAAGTTCCACAAATCACTCATCTGCTCCCGCCTGTCACTTCCTGGGTCCCCAGCCTCCACTTTGGGTTTCAAACAAGGTGAGAGCAGGTGCTTCACCCCCCAGCAGGGTCCTGTGGACGTGGGTGCCAGAGTGACTCTGTCCAGGGGCTAACTGCCCATTGGCGAGGAGGGGAAGAGGCCTGGCTCCTTTAATAAAGTCCACTCCAGTTCTACCCAGGGTTAAGCACGCCTTGTTCCCTGGCTCCTTTTAGGTCACGTTCCAGGGCCTAGTAGAAGTGTCATCACACTGTAAACAGGCCCCATCTGGTCTCCGGCCCTCCCGCTCTCCCTCCATCTCTGATCTGCCCATGGAAACATTCGGCGGGGTGGTCACTGGGTTTCCACGTTCATGGGCCTGCTGTCCTGTGCTGCCTGCTGCTGGGTGGTCTTTGCCTTTGAGGAGGATGCGTTCATAGGTCCGGGAAACTTACCTGCCAAGGGAGAGGATGGCTGCAGAGAGACAGGCCTTTAAGGAAACACTCTGGGGTGTCCCGAGCCGGTGTGGTGAGTGGTGCCCCGGAGCGATGGACGCACAGCAGCCAATATGGATGGACTGATGAATTCTGGACTAATAAAAGTGTTTTTAATAGTGGGGAGCTCGTTCCTAGGTGGGTGGGGTCGCAGTAATCCAGTCTGAGGGGCATGAAAGCATAGAACACTGTGGCCAGGGCAGTTTCTGCAAGGGGAAGGACAAATACGAAAAAGGTACCACAAGGCAGAGGGTGAAAAATTGTTCTTTTTAACCTTTGAGATAGGACAAGAAGCAATGGGCTTACACTGCAGCAAGGGAGGTTGAGGTTGGACATTAGGAAGAACTTCCTACCTGTCAGGGTGGTTAAGCACAGGAATAAATTGCCTGGGGAGGTTGTGGAATTTCCATCACTGGAGATGTTTAAGAGCAGGTTGGACAGACACATGTCAGACGGTCTCAGTGGTGCTGGCAGTAGACTGGACTTGATGACCTCTTGAGGGTCCTTCCAGCTCTAGGATTCTATGATTCTAAGGGAAAGGGACATTTTCAGCCATGGTGGCTATTGGAGTAGCCAACATCAGCTGTGCAAGATCCCCAGCGCCCCAGGCTGCTCAGGGATCTGACCATCTGGAAGCAGACTCACTAGAGGGCAAAGTTCTCGGGGTGGCCAGATCTTCTGAATGTTTCCCTCTTCAGTCACCGGGTTTCGTCTCAGCCAACTGCTGACTATCCAGGTGTGATGTCAGCCCAGGCCTGGCCCGGCGGAGAGACTGGCATTTTCACTGGCAGATGTAAATGGCACGTTAAATCCCGTGCAACCTGCATGTTGCCAACACTTGAGATGTCATTCCAGCACTTTTTGGGGGGAGCCTGAATAGCATCTCTCAGGACCTCCAGTATTTACATTCTCAAGCCTAGCACCTGTCCATGAGCCCATGATGTCTCTCAGTCACCTCCCTGACCTCATGGAGATGTGAAATAGGACGAGGGAAGGAACCGAAGCAGGTGGAACTCCACG